TACAGATCCTACCAAATTTCAAAAAAAGCGAAAGGTTTGAACACAAAGTTACTAACTTCAAATTGTATAGTTCGCATTACTGTGTCCGAAGTCCCAACTTTGCAAAATCAAGGTATGACAATATGCGAATTTTGATCTTTGATTTTGACACATCTAATCTGTATCTATTCTGAGATGTGTTGGATTTTTTTTTGATTTTTTCAAAATTTGAGAACATTCGGAGAAATTATTTAAAATTCCCGCGGCAAGCTGGTTGGAAGACTCAGAGGTGATTTAATTACTGCATCAAAGCTGTGGCGACTAGCTATTGAAAAAGCAAAAAAGATAAGTTTAAGTTTTGATAATTTTCTAAGTATTTTTGCAAAAATTCGCTCGCTAACATGCTTGTTAAAGAGGAAGAAAAGCTGCCCCAGATACCGTTCAGCTTACTTGTCTGTCAGTGATCTAGCGATTTGGCGAAATCATGTAACATTAAATGGAAAATTTTTATTAATTATTACTTATGACTCATTTTGGTAGGTTGTGTAGTGATTATGATTTAGAAAGTGACGAACATGCGTCGTATTGGGTTGCCTGAAAAGTAAACTCCATTTGAACCGTTTATGTTTTTCTGATAGACTTAAGGTATCATTCGATAGAGCGGAGCAAACTCTACAAAAGTACCACCAAAGAGTCATCTGAGTCATAAAGGCAAAATTTGGAGCTAAAAATGAAAGTACCTCAGTTATCCTATAATAAAATTGGATCTCCTTCCAGAAACTTCCTAAGGGCTTCCAGCCTGGTCTTTATATAGTACATCATAGTAGTGCCCAAAAATATTTGGTGAATTTCAAAACTGAGAAACAGAGATGATTTAAATATGCCAAAATGTCAATTTTTCAGTTTTCATGTAAAACTTGTATTTTTCGATTAAAAAAGCACTTACAGGGGCAAAGTTTCACGATCATGCTTAGTAAGACCTAAAGTATACAATGATATATATGGGAGGGGTGGGGGAGGAGTTTGCCTTTTGTAGACAACCTTTTTCTCGCTTTCGCATAAAAAATCCAGTAAAGACGTATTTGAGTACTAATATGTCCTACTGTATAATGACCAAGTTAGAGGTGTAAAGGGATTTTTTTCGCAAAAACCAAAATCTTTTTCGATTTTGGCTTCAAAATTCGCTGACAACTGTGAATGCGAATGTTCCGAAGTGGGCACGTGGGAAAGCTATGTGAGATTTACAAAAAGTAGTGTATATAATTGGTTGTACAGTATTCATTTAACTTATACACAGTGTGGAGAATATTGTGATGCTCATCTAGATGAATACAATATCACAAAGGTAGACGATTGACAGATGAATGCAGTTATGGTAATGCTGCTTTGGCAAACAGCAATCCGTATATAAAATAACGCTCACATTTTTGTTTTTTTTTTTTCACAAAGAAGAAAACTGTACAGTGCAGTGCAACACGTGAGGCAATCCTGTGACTTCAGCATCGTCTTCATAAAAAAGGCAAGTTTGATAATCTGAAAATTATCTGAAGTGATTCTGTATCTCTATCAAGGTAGATTTCTATTCGTATTCTATTTCAAGAACCTAGTAAAGATAGCACTAAGGCAAACAGTACCGTGGATATTTTTTGAATAAGAAGTAATTAATCCATAAAAGTGTTCTTGAAGTTTCAAAAATACCAAGGAGCATTTAGTCGCAAATAAAATTGATATTCGAAACAATCTACTTTTCTAGAGCTTCGCTAGCCTTTTATGTATAATGCACCTATAGTGATCTCTTCAAAGATGAGCTGCTACAAAGTATACTCGCGACAAGAAGTCGGGGGATTGCTCCTGTAAGCCATAAAAGATCCCTATTTCACTTGTTTCCAGTGTCTGTCAAAGTTTGGGATTATGTGCATATGTGTGTTCTTGACAAATTTTTTGCAGTAAAAATGCAAAAGTGCCATTGATGGCCCATGCACAACCAAATCAACACTTGAACTAATATTAGCTTGTTCGTGGCGTTTTTATAGACCAACAGATACATCAATTTACAGTCAAAATCAATCAATAAAATATTTTTGATGTTGCGCACGATCTTTTTGGCGCATTCTTTTTAGTTCCGCGCTCTCAATTTTTCAGACGGCAACGCGTCGGATCCCAAGAAAGTCATTTAGCCAGCGCTTAAGTTAATCACTGGAATCGAGGCGTGCACCATTCATGAGGTTTGCGAAAGAGCGGAACAAATCATAAATTAATAGAACTGTCTGTCTACTGGGCTTTTTCTGCGGTAGGACCTGGTTTTAACGACGCAGTCGGCTTTCTTACGGTATGATTGACCGCCCATTATACTTATTCAGCAATTTGTGCAGGACGTCCTGCCTGTCCTCCAAATAGTCTTGTTCAAGGAACCCTGCACAGTTGCTGATTTTTTGTAACATTCCAATCCTTTTTTGTTTCAGAATGATGCGGAACGCCATGTTTCACAATCAACAAAAAACCTGCGCAAAAACTCTTCTTTTCATGAGAAAAAATGCGCAAATCTCCAAACTGCTCCTTTTTGCCTTCCAAGATTTCCAACTGTGGAAGCTAAGAGATCCGCGTGATTCAGCTTTTCACTGGAATTAGTAGACATATTTTGAAAAGCACGATAGCCCTTCCCAATAATTTTCACCTTGCCCAAATCAACCACAAAGAAATGGAAAAATGCACGAAAATGGAACGCTACGAACTTAAGGAACGACCTAGTAAATAGACAGAATTTGTGGATTTCGAATACCTAATACCATTTGCTTGAGTGTTGCGTATACTAGAATTTCTAGATCATTTTGCTAAATTATTAGGTTAATTAAAGCAACTGCGGTCACAAAAACATGTTTCGGTTGTTTATGTCTGCAGGCCGCAAAGAATGCAGCACAGCCCTTTTTTACTATCGTCCTTTCCCCACAGTATAGCGGGCGGAGCTTTGCCGACGTTTGTCAACGTATGCGCGTGGCAGTTTTTGGCAGCTAGAGAGTACAAAAACTCATTTTTTTAGAGTAGAGGTCCAACAAGTTTTTCAACGCGTTCAAATGTCTGCACGACCACGCCCGCTATACGCATGGGAAACGCTTGTATCATTGGAGGCTAAATGGCAATTTTCTTGATTATTTAGTACATGAGATAGGCGCATAGACTGTTTTCGGTTTAAGGCCGGACCAAACATGCAGCATTACTTCATATGGCCTAACATAAGGTGGCTAAAAGGGCAGTGACATGGACGATTCAGCAACATTTATGCATGGTTTTTTTTGCAATAAAACTGCTTATAATTTCGCCTACAAAGACGTTCAGCAGATACGGAAGACAGAATTGAAGCCTATTCTGTATTAACAGTGTTCAGCTTGTTTAAAAATGCCATTTGACTTCTGAGCATTCTCTTCATCTACATTAATATTGAGCCCTGCCATACATTTATGTAAAAGCGGCTTGTTTACAAAAATGAAAATGTACATAAACACCATTGCTCGCATCACTCAGACAAAGCATTTTACTTCGTTTCAAGTTTTTAGTTTTCATTTGAATTACTACTCAATCTACACATTTTTTCAGGTATAGGGCATTCGAAAAATTCTGACGATGGCGCGACCGCTCGCGACACCCACGCACTTCCGTTTTTGGTTTCTATTTCTATTCATATGGTCTTTCTGCCTACATATGACAGTATTCAGAAAATGAAAGTGCCTGAGCTGAGCGTTGAGGTGATACCTGTTTGTATGGGTGTTCTGTGCTCCTGTTGCGCAAAAATTGCACTCAAATTGGTCGTCACGATCTTAAGAATGAACCATATGTTTATGCACTCCATCGCTGTTCAGCTCAATAAGGGATAATACAGATTTTAGGGAAATTACACACGGCGCTCTTTTGATCCTTGATAAGGCGGTATTGATTAGAGTACTGTTCAAATTGTCGCTAAATAAATGAATAATTACACTCATTCAAGCACTATAAGGCAAACTCATAGCAAATTCTATAATGTTTAGACTTCGAATTACTTTGACCGTCTGATATTCAGAACAGCCACTCTTGGGACAATGTAACTGTATAAAAATACTATCCTCCCCATGCACAAAAGCAAGAACGAGAAACAGTAGCTGTCGCGGCTCGCGATCGACCGCTCCTCACAGCATGTGGCCGGGAGCACCGTGCTGCCGCGCGTCTCGGTCGTGAGCACGGTCGCCGCGCTTTACGGCGGCTACCTTGTTCGCTCCGAGACCACACCATGTAGGCACGCCCCCAGCCACCGCTATAAATAGCGCGTACGCGCGCCTGTACGGCTCTTCTCTCGTCTTACCATCTTACTATCGTCGTTGTGCTGCCGTTATTATTGATTGGTTGGGTCTTTACGATATCGCCGTCGTGTCTGCATCCCCGTGCCTCGCGCGCTTGGATGGATCGTTGACGTATTGTTCTGATGTACGCGCGAGGATGGAATTCCAGGATGACGAATATCTCGAAGCGCTTCGGTCGCGCAGGATTCGTTGGGAGCTTTGCTTGATGTTGTTGGTTTACATCTCGGGGTCGGTGTTGCCGTGCCGTAGCTGCTGCCTTGGCGGCGCGCGGCCGGCCTGTGGGTAGCTCCCTTGGATGTCGGGAGAGTGTGTGAGTGTGCTAGTGTGTGAGAGTGAGTAAGCAAGAGTCCTCATCGGTAGCCCGGGGTAGAGCTTAACTCTCCCCGTGGTAAGTATATTCGTATTTGTGTATTTTTATGTATATTCGTTTATATTTGTTTAGTAAATTTGTATTTTATCGTCTTGTGTCTAGTGTAGGCGTGACGCGCCACTGCGCGTTAGCGCGCACCCGCAGTGGCGGGAGTCCTTCGGGGAAGGAGCTGAGGCGTATGGCAGTCGAGCGCGAGGTGAGGGGGCGCAGAGCCCACCGATCCGCAACATGGTGCATCGACGCCGAGCGCATGGTGGATGGTGCCGCCGCCCGTAGATGGGTTAGTCGCGCAGGTCGGAGTGGTGTTGTGTGTCATCGGTATGTCGCGTTGCTCGAGGAACGCGCTATCCCATCCACCGTGCGTGCGTAACGAGCCCGAAGCTACCACGCTCAGCGCCCCAGTAGGAAGTCCTGGCAAACAGAGAGGCAGAGCTGAATACCTACGTAGCCGGTGGCAAGACTACAGTGGGGATAGCCAGGTTGCGAAGTATGGCGTCAGAGTGCGGGGGGAAAGTCGGTAAGACTGTGGCAACTTGCCAACCGTACCCCTTATTGGCCAAGCACCTACGCCATGCGATGCTGGTATGCATGCCGTGCTAGGAAAGGGCCCCAAGTAAGGGCAGGTGTCAATATCTTCGGCGGGCTCGACCAGGGGGCACTTTGGGTATAGTGCCAGCGGCCGCAAATGTCGAGTCATAGGTGTCTTGGTGGAGTTGTTGGTGGAAGGGATCGAGCGGACGGAAGGACGACGGTCGGATCGAAGGAGGACTGGATGGAGACCTGGACGGGAGCGCACAAGAGCTGTATCGTTGTACGTGCATTTCAGAGCTGTATCGTCGAGCACGACGCGCAGAAGGAGGGTGTTTGAGAGGCACGATGGAGTCGTATCGTTGTACGCGCGTGTCAGAGCCGTATCGGAGGGCGCGAGGAGCTGTATCGGTGACGTGCCAGAGAGAGGGTCTACAGGGCGGATTGGATAAGGACCGACAGAGCGACAGACAGGGAGCACGATTTCAGTGTTGTATCGTTGTAACGTGTATTTTAGTGCTGTATCGTTGAACGCGTCACGTGTTGTATCGGTGTACGTGCTGAGAGGGGATTGTTGCAGGAGGGTTTATAGGGTGGCTCGATAGACGAAAGAGAACGTGATCATTGTATTGTATCGTCGTACGCGTATTTCGGAGTTTTATCGTCGAACGCGATTTGTACTGTATCGTTGTACACGTTGAGAGGACAGACGAAGGAAGTTTTGAAGGAGGATTGGACCTGCGTTGGAATGGTATCGTTGGACGCGCGAATTTGGAGTTGTATCGGTGGACGCGACGACAAGCGCAGGTGGTAAGGAAACACCGTCCTTTTAGGAGCCTGGATCACTTCCGGAGATGTAAGGAGACATCTCCAGGGGACGGTGGAGTTGCATGGAGGCATCTTCGGAGGACGGCGGAGTTGCAGGGAGGCAGCTTCGGAGGACGGGAGTGCTAGGGGGTCCTGGTTCCAAACCCTAGATATTTCTTTTTACATTTTCTTCTATTTCTTCGCTATCCTTCCAGTTGTAGTCGGCCCGGTAGTTTTGAGTTTGTAGTAGCTGTCTCGTACAGTTTAGTTAACTATCTCTAGTCACTTTGTTAACTTTGCTAGTCGCTTATTCGTGTGATTTTTTACTCTTGTGATATTTAGTTCTGTGATATATTTAGGTTTAGTGATCTCATTGTTACGGGTAGTTAGTCGCCTCTACGTGCCGTTGTAGTGCTGCATGGGCACCCCTTCGGGGGGAAGCTTTCGGTGGACGGGGGCTCGGCACCTGGCCATCGAACCTGTGCCCTTTAGTAGTTTTTCCTACCCCCAGGCATTGTTGGTTAGCGGCCGTGGAAGGAGGCGGACTGTTGTGGACAGCGGAGGAATGTAACATCCGGAAGATGGAGGAAGGCGACAGCCCGTTGGTAGGAACGGCTCGTTTTTGGGAGTGATTCAGGTGCCCGTGTACCATCGCTCCGATCGCCGATAAGGAGCCTTGGGTAGTTTCGGACCGGCCTCCGGCATGTTATTCAAGCTGTACCTTGCCATGCGCACGCTACCTTTAGTCGCGGTAACGTGTTGGCTCTTCAGTGACAGTCTGTCGTTATCCATCCTCTGTTTGCCTTACGTCCTTTGGTCACCCCCGCGGTTACGTACTACACTCTTTTTTTTTGTTCTTCTTTGTGGTGGAGTAGGTCGGGCAAGTTGAGAGGGTTTGGCAGGGTGGTTCGTCGGTATGGGTAGTAGGGAGTGTGTTTTATGTTTTGTTGTTTATAGTTGTATGTATTTTTTCAGGCTACCGATGAGTGTGAGTGTTGCCCCCTAGCGCGCCGCGCTTCGTTCAGGCATAGTCCATCTTCGATGTCGCTGGCCACACGACGGATAGTACGACAGAGACAGCCATTGGAAACAGGCAGAATTCCTTACCGTTTTCCATCCAGGTAGCGAGCCTCTGTTTCCTTCCTTTTTGTTCTGATTTGTCTGATGTCAGGCCGTTGTCGAGCTTTACGCTCTGTTTTCACTATCAGGCCAGATTTTGTGTTTTTGCGGCGGAATGCCCTTTTTTTCTGTAATTTTTGTCCCTTATTCCCCCACTTTTTTTCGGCTGGGTCCTGAAGCGATTGTTGTTCAGCGCGCACTTTAGGCGGCGTGTACCCCGCCTTCTTGTGCATATTGATCGACCATCAGATCTCTTGCGCTTTCCCCCTTGTTCCCTATGTTTTGCTTATTGTCGCCGGCAAGCAGTAAGCAATCGTAGCCTCCCTTTGTGTTTTGTAGTACGCGCGACCCAACCGTACATTCGCGCAAATTTCATCTTTCTTGGCCTCAGAGCGTCCGTTAGGCAGTAGATCTGCATTTCTCGCTAAGTAATTTATCCTTGGTGTATAGCGTGTTTGTTCTGTCTTTGTAGTTGCTATTGTCTACCGCATTGCAGCCTGTGTCTCAGCCGAATCAGTAATTTTGTTTCTCTTGCAGCTTCGCGAGCCGTGAGCCTATCACCATCTTCTTGCTCATTGCAGTAACCTCCTGCACGCGCGCTTTCCTTTGCGCTATTTTGTATTTCTGCAGCTGTTCCTGTAAGTGCTCTGCGTAGTTGCAACTTCTTTTTGATTTTCAGCTACCTGCAAGACTATCTCTCACTCGGCTTTGACTTGAAATCGGTTTTTCTTTTACGCGCGTTCAGTACTCCGTCCGTGCGCCAGTATGATCTGCGCATTTTTGGATATCTCTTGTACTGCGCGTCAATCCTGGTATTTGTGTATCATATCCTGTAAACGCGCCTTTGGTAGTGTGTTACCCTCTGTCGGCGCAGTGTAGATCCTTTTTCTCATCGCCTATTCCATCTACAGGCTTCCTTTCGCGCGTGAGTACCTTTAGAGTATCGCGCCTCTATTCCCGTTGTGCGCTCCATCTGCACTTTGATCTCATGCCAAGTTTACTTGTTAGATCTTTGGCTAGTGAAGTACTCCTTTACCATCTATGTTGGCATCGTCGTATTTTTGAGTTGTATCGTCGTTCGACGAGATGTCGCGCTCAGCGCGCCAACCGTACTTCACAGATACTTTTTGCCCGTAGTAGCTTGGCCCAATCGTTGCGCTTAGGGCTAGTATTCACAGTTGTTACCATCTTGTTCGTATGTTTAACTTGCCTGGCCAGCTAGTGTAACTGCGACCAACTGTGCTGCGTCGTGAGCATGTCCCTTGAGTGCATTTCTTTTCTGGATTCCGATTTACCTAACGCGCGACCCGTAGACACGTTTATACTATCTTCTCCGTGGACGCTTACGTTAGGGATCCGTAGCCATTAATACCGGCTGTAGTTATACGCGCGGCTTTCGCCGTTGCTTTTTCGGATTTGCCCCTCTTTTCCGGATTGATCCATACTCGGACTTACTTCTTGTCTGCATTACTGTTTTGTTGTGTCATTGTTCCATCCTTTATTTTCACACACTCGGTATGCAGTGTAACCCGATTTGACGAATATTTGAATGGTCCTGCGGGTAGCACCTACTCCCGCACTCGCTGTAGTGTCTTCCTCGGCAGCTTGGCTCATATTCCAACATCGAATATACTCAGTTTGCATGCCTATATATTTAGCGCAACGCGCTAAATAGGTGGGTTAGGTATGTGTCATCATTTAGTTGTCGCGCTGAGTATTAGCCATGCCCATGCCATGGATTCATCGTCGGAACGTCTAGAGGGAAGTCTCACTGCGCAGACGCGCCGTTAATCAGCCTAGGATACCTCGTGACGATGATCTGTTTTGAGGATGATGGCACCAACGGCGAGCTGGGAATAGGAATTTCGACGTGCGAGTCCGAAAACGACATCACGCGGGAGTTGATGGAAGTTCGCGGACGAGTACCCATGGCAAATCCACAAGACGAGCAGACGGACACGCAACTGGGTAATACTACGGACTCGAACGGTACTAGTAGGCAACACTAATTTCGAACTTTGTTTTGAATTTTCCTTTTTTACAGTTTACATTTCTAAATTCATTAATGTTTTCCATTTGCGCGTCAGTCAATTTCTTTTTACACTTTAACATCTTTGTGACTGCGCGCCTCTAAAATTTATTTTTATACCTTGCCTACTTACCGTGTAACATCTGTCGCGCTAGTTAACCCACTAGCTAACATCATCTGGCGCACTTGTGGAGGGCGTTAACATCTATTGCGCCATGTAAAGTCCCGGTAACATCTTAGTTCGTCGGCTCCCTACCAGCTATACTTCCTATTGTAGTAGTGCGTAACATCATCTAAAATTTCCGCTAATTACTCTAACTTGTTTATTGTTGCTACTCGGTCGAGCAGCCTAGCGGTATAGTCTACTTTAGGAAGTTGCAGCCGTCGTCGGACGCGCCGTCTCATTGCCTAAGTCCCGACCATAGAGCCATTGTGAGCAGTCCATCAGGCCCCTGTAACATTCGCTCTATGGGTTGGGCCGTCTTTCCTTGAACAGACCCACAGTGCCGCATTTTCGGGTCCTTGAGTTGTGGGGTCGACCCCCTCGTCGAGGCGTTTTGTCCTCGGCGGGAGGCTGGACCTTCGTCCAATTCGGTCCGGACGGGCGCTAGACGCACAAATTTGGGGATGTTTCGGGAAAGACGTAGTACCTTTTCTGTCTGGAAGCCAACACCCTCTCAGTTCATCCTTCTATTTTGTGCTCTTTTTATCGTAAATTAATCCAAAATTAAGAGAGGGTGGAGGTTTCCTTCGTTTCAGGGTGTGCGTTCCAGGACGCGCGACATGTAGGCTTGCAGGGTGGTAGGTTTCGTTTCGGGCATTACGCTCCTTCGATGTTGAACGTACGAGCGTATTTAGAGTGATCAGATGTTGATGGACGAGGGACGTAATGTGGGTTGGACGCGCAGTAAGATCAGCGCTGGACGAGATGGATGGCGAGATGGATTGGTGGCGACGCTATGGGCTGGAGCGTCTATCCTGAAACGACGTACATAGTCCAGTAGCTATAGAAGTATTTTTAATCACTATCCGTATTTATTTGGTAAGCGCCTTGAGCGCTCCGGTTTATTCTAGTAGTGATCTGCGCGTCGAAGCGCCTGTAGTTTGTGTTTATTTTTTGTGTTTTACCACGGGGCGGGTTGTCGCCTGTTCCCTCGCTACCGATGCCGTGTGTTTCTTTTTTTTCTATCATCATCCAAATTTTTAGGTTAAGGCAGTTGCCCCAGGTCACGGTGCTATCACGTAACCACCCATTCGCAACGCCCAAGCCTTTCGTTGTGGGGGGGAGTGTCGCGGCTCGCGATCGACCGCTCCTCACAGCATGTGGCCGGGAGCACCGTGCTGCCGCGCGTCTCGGTCGTGAGCACGGTCGCCGCGCTTTACGGCGGCTACCTTGTTCGCTCCGAGACCACACCATGTAGGCACGCCCCCAGCCACCGCTATAAATAGCGCGTACGCGCGCCTGTACGGCTCTTCTCTCGTCTTACCATCTTACTATCGTCGTTGTGCTGCCGTTATTATTGATTGGTTGGGTCTTTACGATATCGCCGTCGTGTCTGCATCCCCGTGCCTCGCGCGCTTGGATGGATCGTTGACGTATTGTTCTGATGTACGCGCGAGGATGGAATTCCAGGATGACGAATATCTCGAAGCGCTTCGGTCGCGCAGGATTCGTTGGGAGCTTTGCTTGATGTTGTTGGTTTACATCTCGGGGTCGGTGTTGCCGTGCCGTAGCTGCTGCCTTGGCGGCGCGCGGCCGGCCTGTGGGTAGCTCCCTTGGATGTCGGGAGAGTGTGTGAGTGTGCTAGTGTGTGAGAGTGAGTAAGCAAGAGTCCTCATCGGTAGCCCGGGGTAGAGCTTAACTCTCCCCGTGGTAAGTATATTCGTATTTGTGTATTTTTATGTATATTCGTTTATATTTGTTTAGTAAATTTGTATTTTATCGTCTTGTGTCTAGTGTAGGCGTGACGCGCCACTGCGCGTTAGCGCGCACCCGCAGTGGCGGGAGTCCTTCGGGGAAGGAGCTGAGGCGTATGGCAGTCGAGCGCGAGGTGAGGGGGCGCAGAGCCCACCGATCCGCAACAGTAGCAGTTCATGGAAGAGCATTGTCGCCACAGCTAATTCTGTAATATTTTCATTATAAGGGCACTAATAATGAATATATAATAAAGTGTAGGAACTATTGCTTGACGCTAATACTCTAATGGGGATAATTCTAATACACAGCTGTTAACCTTAGTTCCAGATAAACCTTACTGCAGAGAAGGTCTAAACTGGAATACTATCTGTTTCGTAGTGCTCAAAAACTGTGTTTGCTCGGTTCAAATGGAGCAATTTTTATTGACTTAAGAGGAAAGAGTAAAGTCATGGCTAAGCAGAATTCCTATGAAGGAAACTTCTGTTAAGCTAATAAATACGGCAAAAAATCCTTCTGATTTGGGTCTCCACTGGAATCCATTGCAAACTTGCAGAAGATAAGTTCTTATAAGCGTGATTCACGGGTGCAAAGCAGGTGTAGTAGTTGATTACGCCCTCCTATAAGACTTTATGCAAATGATGTTTCCCGAAAGTCTTACTATAGAATTTTCCAGTACAGCACACATCAAAGGTAAAGGTAGCGCTTTGAAGGTTCATCTAATCTACAAGGAAAATGCTTTTAAGTAATTTTTTCTGAATGAATACTTTTGATATTTTTTGAATACCCCACTTTGACGAACATAGAAGGCTCTCGGACTCTGAGATATAAGAGTTTTTTGGAGCGAGAAATCAAGCCAGAACAATAAATTCAATCGTAACGGTCATTTCCGCGCTCAAAGGCAGTACAGCTCACATTTCGTCAAGAAGTCACTAAGCTCCATCGAAATTAACCGTGGTTAGCGGGCATATCTTGTTTTTAAAGTGAATAAACTCCGAATCCGAGGGCATCGCTCTACTTGGAGAAGTGGAGCGCATCTTCGTACATATGAAGATAGCATTGCACATTCAGTGAACCGTACCGTAAGCAAAAATATCAAATATTCGTAAATTCTGAAGCTTTACCTAATCAATCGGGCACTTTTATATACAGGAACAATCGCGCATTCTTGAATTTTAGCGATGGTGGGTTCGGTAACTTTTTGACCTTTTACGAGCGGTATGTGGAGCAGTGTTGAGAATGGGCATATGCAAAAAGTATCCGATGCATCGAATGTTTTGATATTCAGAGCTAAACCACTTAAGATTGTGAATAATTTTCAGTTGCGCATTAGTCTCCGTCTCAAAAAACTCTCACAAGTCGACGTCCAATAATTTGTGATCATCGTTCAATGCCCTTCAAAGTACTGTTTTAAGTAAAAAGTCCAGTTCACCAAAATCGCTTTACTAGTAAGTCGTTTTGTGAGTTGTGAAGTTTTCTTATAGACATTTTGGCAGAAACACCAAACGATCAAATAATCAAAGGGTCAGATGGAAACTTATTGTAATTGCTGTAACGTTTACTGCATTATAGAGGCTATCGGATCATCAGTGTTTTCAGCAAATTCTTGTCCTACAATATTGGCAGATTTGCTGAATCATTGGTAATGCTATGGTAAACTCGAAATTACAGTAAGCTCCCTCCCCAAAGCTTCTTGTTCAGGGAAAAGATATGGATTAGATTGAGAGCAGACTGTGCAATGCATTAAGTCTTAAGAGGACTGTTTTGATATTTTACCAGATAAATATGATTTTGCTGCTTTTAATTCAACTGCTTTCATACATACGAAGTTTGTCTAACAACTTATCTGCTTATACTGTAACGCACATGCTTTTGACAATTCATATGTAATCAGGAATGTATCAACATCCCGGTCATTTTAGATACACGGTCTTCAACAAATAACAGGAGATCCGAAAATAAAGTAATTACCAAGAGATGATTACTTTTGCAATTCATCAACTCAGCTCCTATGCATTTATGGCTTGATTCAACACTGCAATTGTTTTCATGTGCTCGTTCAACATTAGATGACCAAAAGCACGTTTTTCCCATTTTCCGCTTTTGATGGCTGTGCTTTCACCAACTATTACCCAGGCAAAAAAAAAAACGAATCAGGCCGAAATCACTCCTGTAAAAACTAGGAGATCTAGGCTATCGATCCATATAAATACGGTTTGCTAAAAATGTTTTCATGACATAGTTAATAGGGTGTGGCACACCCCAATAACTATATCAAAGAGCATTTTTTGCGAGCAGTATTTACATGGATCGATAGGTTAAACCTCGTAAATTCCATAGGAATGAGGGATTTCTGAGATGGACAAAGAAGGATAAGTGCTTTGTCATGAGTGCAAAAAAGGATAGCTGATTCACCTTTGAAACAATGTTAACCATGTTGGAATATGACCATTTCACTCAGGTAGCCTGGTATATATTGAATCTTCAAAATTCGCTCAAACTTTGTCTACAGGGGTTAATTGACATGCTAATTATAATTGTGATACGAATATCATGTTATCACTATTATCAGAATACCCAACTACGACCCCCTCCCCTTTTGACTTCTCAATACGCCCCCCCCCCCCCAGGTGTGGCGTGCCATGCCCCACGTTTGACCCTGATTATTACAGTAGTTTTCAAGGTCAATTAACATTGTACAATAATTGGTTCATGACCCATACAACAAAGAAAGCTATGCTTCCTCACCTTTTGAGCTGTACATTTTCAAGGAGGTGTAGTTTACGGTGTTTTGAAATGTCCTTTATATCTTCCGTCAAGCATTTCAAACATCAGCAGATCCGGCAGACTGCTAGATAGTTGCCGCTGGTTCGAATCCATGAGATGAATCTTCTAATGTTTGTGGCACACTTATAAATCGTTTATTTTGCAGCAAATAAAAGTACATAATGGTACTCTTACCGAATAAGCAAACAACGATAGAGGCTGGAATAATCATTTGCGTACACATTCTACTATAATACATATCCTAATCTTTCAACGTAAACAAAAACCTGCCCTCCTTA